GGGCCGGTTCAGGTTTATAGTTAGGGCCGGCTCAGGTTTATAGTTAGAGCTGTTTCAGGTTCATAGTTAGGGCTGACTCAGGTTCATAGTTAGGGCTGGATCAGGTTCATAGTTAGAACTGGATCAAGTCTATAGTTAGGGCTGGATCAGGTTCATAGTTAGAACTGGATCAAGTCTATAGTTAGGGCTGGTTCAGGTTCATAGTTAGGGCTGGCTCAGGTTTGCCTTGGACTAGCCCCTAGATAAGCTGCTATAGGCCTAGACTGCCGGTGGACTTCTTAGGATAGACTGAGCTCCTCTCTCCTCTTCTATTTCTCCTTCTGTATGAATTCATACCTCATTCATGCACATTACTAATTTAGTTTCTTCACCGGAGTCTCTGTGCTTTCTCGCCTCGCAGGTTTCCATGGTTCATGGTTGTACCTGGACCCTGTCTCCTGCCGTGGTTCTGTCATACATTGAATGTGTTGTAACTCTGTTATGTTGTTCATCCTGTGCACATGACATCTGTCGTACTGCTGTCCATCCTGATAGAGGATCCTCCTCTGTTGCTCTCCCACAGGTCTCTCCCTGTGTTCTCCCCGGTAAAGAGTTTTTGGGGAGTTTTTCCTGTTCTGATGTGAGGGTCCTGGGACAGAGGATGTCGTATGTGTATGGATTGTAAAAACCTCTGAGGCAAATTTATGATTCGTGATTTTGGGCAATGCAAAAATAAATTGAATTGAATTGAATGTATGTATGTTTGTCATTATTATCATCAGGAGACTGATCACCACAAAACGTCATTTATATGAACCAAAGACTGTTATCTTATCATAAAAGTTATTTGGCTTTTCACTTCATTCTGTGTTGTCAGCAGCCCTAACAGGTAACTAGTGCAGCCTGCATCAAACCGACATATACAATGTGGCTCTATTGGTGTAAATGTGTGAAGAGCAGGATGCAAACCATATGACAAGATATAATAAAACTATATTTTGTAATACATATAATACATCTTTCTGTATCCTTATAAATACTGCCCTTGTTTATATTTTATCTTTGAATGACACATATGATGAAACTATGAACACACTGCATGACAATATTCTTTCATGATTTAAATGAAAATTTTGACTGAATTGGAAAAATCAAGAATTAATAATAACTTATTGTCACAGCTCTGCCACTCTATCTCTCACTCACCTCATCAGCTCATTCAGTGCACCTCTCCCTTTGTTTTCATCCCTGTCTTACATTGTATACTTTCTTGGCTCGTACTGTATATGTGTTTATGTACTTGTCTGCACTTGTTTTGGACTCAATAGAATAAAGACTCCCTCTGTAGTGACGTGAGTTACTGGTCAGTCAAGATAACGACATGTTGAACATTAACTCTAGACAGCTAACTGGTAGGACACTGACCAAGCGTCAGTGTACAACGAGTTGCGAGTGAGAATGCATTGAAAAAACAAAGCATAACAAAAGGCATTACCAGATGTCCATGTTACACACAGGTAATACATTTAATGGCATACACAGACCTGACTGGAGCGATGGGAGAGGTGTGAATGAGGGAGGGACACACTGATCTTTACTTCTGCTGTGTTGTCATTTCATAGGTTTAATTTCTACACGTCTACATCTACAAACACTGTATGTGAAACAACACCTTTGGAACTAGCTTTTCTGAAGGAAGCAAGAGAGAAATACCAATGTGGAAGAAATGGAGGTCAAAACTGCATCAACAGTGACGGTACACTTTCTTCTTGCCTGATTTTTACCTTTTCCATATTATTCTTCATTGTTATTCACAAACTACTCAAAACACATCACTGTTGCATCGGATGACATGTTCTTACATAACCATGAATGCCACTGAAAATAGTCAGCCAATAAAAACAAATAAAGCAAACTCCTACACAATTAATTTAATGTCTCATTTGGACTGTGACCTAACAATCAAAGTCAGTCATGCTTTTATCAGACCACAGATAAAAAGAACGAGGCCACAGATGGTATCACAATAGCCAAGGTGATTTTTTATAGACCTTTTTATTGTAACCCTGTCGATTCCAGCTCACTTACTGGATTCTATTGCAAACACCGGCTTCATATCATGTTTCCTTCACAACTTGTAAAACTATTAAAACCCTCTGAAGCAGTGAACATAGTGTTCTCGGTAGGATGTTAATAATGCATTCTATCTCAAAGGAGAGTGTGAGTCATGGGAGAGAAACCTTTTAACATCTGTCCTTGTGCATTCTTAGCTTTATAGAACGTTGAGAATTTCCACATCTTCCTCACATCTAAGGAAATGCTGCACATGGTAGCATGTGCATTTATTGTTCCTGAAGGCCTGAACAGTACAATGAACTGCAGATGACCCCGGTGTGCTCCTCGCTGTCACTACAGTAAAAGCCAGATGATATCTATTTTAGGGTTTTCTAGTGCTGTCAAGGTGCTAGAAAATCTCTGGTTTCACAAACTAGTGTAACACAAAGAGGGATGATGATGACATCGACATGTGACTCTGTAGCTTGGTGACTTGATCGACAGACAGACCACATGACTGTAGTCTGGTTTCTTAGCCTGCTTGTTCTCCATTGTTGTAAAGAGAGAGACTGATTATGAAACAGTAGCTTTATGTTGTTGTTGTTGTTATTTCCCTTTCTGAAGCTATTGTATGGTGAAATCAATTAATTTTACTTTAGGAAAACATTTTTTTAACAGCCCCCATCAGTCACTTCCTTCTGATTCCTGGACTGGGTGAAGACTTTTGTAATGTTACTGAATGCTCCCACATCAGCGTTATAGGCCAATCTCTATAAGGACCCACGGTGACACTTTTAATATCCTGGAAAGTTATCCTTGATTTTAACTCTTGAAGTCCCAATGTAACACACAGGGAACATCCTGGGGAGGTCATGTGACAGAGAGTTAGTTTAGGTACCCATGCCATCACTTCCTGCCCGGCTGGTCAGCAGATTTGACCGAACTAGCTCATTGCAAAAAGCTTGTTTTTGTTGCTAAAGGTAAGTTTCAACACATTTAACAATTCTACTGCTTTCATAACATGTCCTACAATACATCTAAACTGTTCTAACCATGTTTATCTAACTCATTTTTATACAAAACTTTATGAAAATATTGTTGTGACAGATATGTCACATCGAGTTTTTAACTTATAATTGTCTCAGAAAAAACAATTTGACATATTTGTCACAATAACAAAAATATTAATGAGCTGCTTAATTGATTTAGCTGATTACATTTTTTTTAAATTAAAATATGTTCTGTTGTTGAATTCAAAAGACATTTGGTTAAACGTTATCATTTTGATATGTGTTGTGGAAATGCAAATAAAAAGGCATAACTTTGTTACTAAGAAAAAAAAGGCAAAGTTGATGGATTTTCAAATGAGGAATAGATTTATACGTAAACGCCCATTGTGACATGTAAAAATGTTTTCAGAAGTGTGTTTCATGTGGTCCCTTTAGTCTGTTTTATAACCCATATCATTGGTTTGGGTTATTATGGGTTAAACACATTAGCACATTATTAAAGGGACAAAACTACATATTTTGCCTCTTACCTGTAGTGCTATTTATCAATCAGAGAGTTTTGATGTGAGATGCGAAGTGTTGGAGATATCATACATAGAGACATCTCCCTTCTCTCCAACATAATGGGACTAGATGGCACTAGGCGGTGGGGCTCAAAGCGCCAAAGAAATACATTTACCAACTCAACAGTGATGTCACTTTCTAGAATTCATAACCCGGTTACTCAAGATAATCCTCAGACCTTGTGAGCAGTTTCATGTAGGAACTAAATTATTTCTACTGAACTACACCCACCAACCATATTACTGCGCAGAAGGACATCTATACTTGATGCTGCTAACTGATCTAGCACAACTGAGCTAGCCAACATTACAGCTCCGCAGAGGAGGAGATGTCATTTTTACATCTTGCACTGTCACGAGCACAAGTCTCTAACCCATGAGCAAATGCACACTTCCGTCTGTGCGGTGATACCGCTGTGCAAGAAAATATGGTTGAGAGCTGCAGATGGATTTCATCTTTCATAAGTCCTCTCCCCTTCCTGTTCGTTGTGAAAGCTTTATAGCTATGTGACCATAAAGCGACATTCATAAAATGGTAGGATTATGGAAAACTGCCTCTCTGTTAAAGCCTAACTACAGAATGGAACATGAGATAAACACTGGGAGATTACGGAGGATGAAGGGAACGACATTATTATTATAACTATAAGGGAAATTAAAAACAAGACAACCTTTGAGCTAAAAACGACGCAATTATTTATTTGTCATAGAGATCAGCAGCCTGTTGCAGCAGCTGATCATACGTTTGACTTGCCTCCTGTTGCTGCCTTCTTGGCCAGGTCATCATTGTAAATGAGAACTGGTTCTCAATTGACTTCTCTGGTTAAATAAAGGTAAACAACTATAATAATAATAGTTGAAAGTCAACACTAACTGCTACATAGCAACTATAACTCCCCACTCTGATCAGTTGCCCCTTCTCTACTTGGCCTGTAGGTCGACCGTATTACAAACATCGTAGCAGAAACACCGTTTCCACCTATTTACAGTTTGGTGCTAAGCTAAGCTAACCGCTGCTGGCGCCAGATACATATTTTACATACAGGCATGAGCGTGGTATTAATTTACTCGTTTAACTCTCGGCTAACTGTATTTCCCAAAATGTCAAACTATTGCAGAAAGTGCATTTTAGAAGAACTCCATGAACACATGAAGAGATATTCTAGTTATTCTTCTGAAAACCTTATCTTTGCTTATACACTTGCATTTCTGAGCTTTTATTTTTAAGAAGTTAAGAGTAAAATTCAGTAATTATCAGTGTCAAGATATCTGACGGAACCAATTTTGTCACGACAAGGTGAGGCTGCTATTTACAATCCCTCTGTCAATGCATCACCTGGTTGAGTGGATGGGAGGGGAGATGCTACCCATGGCTACATATAAAGGTTACACCTTCCACCCTTACATGAACGGTGACAGTGTGGGGCTCCAGTACAGGCAGACAACATGGGGAAAGGCTTCTTTATCAGTAAAGCTGTTGGGATAGTAGCTATCATCCTGTGTGCAGGGGCCGTGGCTGTGATCATTGCTCTATCTGTTGTCTACTCACAGGAAAAGGCAAAAAATAATAATCAGGTCTCGCCAACGGATGGAGGATCAACATCCAACCCCCCTGTCACACCGTCCCCGTCCAATGAACCTTGGGACAAGTATCGGCTGCCCAAGAGCCTGGTGCCGGACCACTACAATGTCACCTTGTGGCCACGTCTGACTGTAGATGCGACAACTGGACTCTACATCTTTACTGGTAAGGTTTTTTACCCATCTCTGATCCTCTGAAGAGAAATCACTTTCTTTATACAAATTAGTCTGTCTAGATTTCCCCTCCTCAGTCAACAAGGATTAAAACCAGTAGGAGTTTGAAGGCATTGCTTTGAGAGGAAAAGGGATGGCAATAAAGACTGATGGACTACTGTCGCTCGGCAGGTAGAGCCGGTCGTCTTACATAATCAGAAGATCGGCGGTTTGATCCCCGGCTTTACCAGTGAATGACTAGAATCTGATCTGCAGGTGGCACCTTGTATGTGAGCTATTTAAGAATATAAAGACACTTATATGAGACCGATATGTCACAGCTTTAAGAGGGTACATGTGAAAGAAAACAAGACACGAAGAAGAAACACACCCTCCGCTTGCTGGATAAGCGTGTAAAGAGGTTTAAACATCCTAATTAATGGTGTTTACATGTACACAGGCTTTACATTTGGGGTTAGACAATATCAACTAGACTCATGACCTTCAAAAGAGATTGGATCAAGGTTGTTTCACACCACTTTTAACAACATATTTAGACCCTGCCTCTCTCAATGTCCACAGTATATATATACTTACATAGTGTTGCTGTCCTGTACAAATAAACTTGTCATGAACTGAGAAAAGGCATTCCAGTTTCTAAGCTTTGTGTGTTTCTGTTAGAGGTTTTCAATCGTTTATTTAGCTCAAGAAGTAGAAGAATTGTCTCAACCCAAAAAGGAAACCTTCAAATAAGTCAAAATCAGCATATTTGGAGATGGTTTTCACTGGAAAGTAACAACAGCTTTATTCTGATTTGATATGCAGGGGTCATTGTTGAACTTGGAGGCTGGGACCCCCACAAGTGGTTGCAAGATAGATCTGAGGGGAAGCACAATCAACAGGATAAGAAAGCGTTAAAAACTTTACTCGAAGCTTTGTTCTTTCTTTGTAAATTACTGGATATCTTTTACCTCTTTGAGATTTTGGTGCATTTTCAAATAAAACAACTCATAACCAACTCACTTACATGCAACTAGTGCTGAGGGTTTCCGAGTGGACATGACTTTGTTTTGATGAGTCACAAGGCTGAAAAGGTTGGAAACCACTCTTCAAAGTGACCCAAATTGCACACAAAGATGATATCAAGAAATGAAAGCTTGGATTCTGATTTTCCAATTTCCAACAACTTGAAAGTTTGAATTTGAGTTTTGAGTTTGGCTTTTTATTACTGCTGATCACAGTTAACGTTATTTCATGTTGTTTTAGGTGATTCCAGTGTGGAGTTTGAGTGTGCTGAGGAGACTGACCTGATTCTTATCCACTCCAATAAGCTGAACTACACCAAATTGGAGAATGGCCACTTGGCGATGCTCATGTCAGTCAATAGTGGGGTCAAAGCTCCCTCAATCAAGTACTCCTGGCTCCAGAATGTGACTCAGTACCTGGTCCTACAGCTGGATGGTAAACTGAGTAAGGACCACAGGTACCACCTCGTCACACAATTTACCGGAGAGCTGGCTGATGACCTGGGAGGCTTCTACAGAAGTGAATACATGGAGGATGGCGTAAAAAAGTATGTATTTGATGTCAGATGATAGACATGACTTGGACAAAAGTGAGACTGAGAAGTTTTGGAACATGCACTAACCAGCAATGACCAATAGTTCTCACGCAGAAGTTCTCACGCAAGACATTGGATTGCTCTTTTAGAGGAATAGCCTGTCAACTATCTGGAGTCATATTAGAACTTACTACATCCATTTACGTTGGGTTCAGACTTCATAATATCAGCCAGCAGTCGTAGAGCGCTGGTGGGATCGGAAATAACAATAGACTTTGTGCGTGACAATCAATTTTTACGGTTTTATCCTGTGTAGTGTGTCAACACATTCTCCCCCCTATGCATCAAACACCGCAGATTGTTCAGTGCTCATACTCTTCAAGCTATGACACTCGGACCACTATTGCGTCAGTTTTGCGCGTTTCAGTGATGGTGTGTCAATACACGCTGGTTACATGTACAGTGTTGTTTCAAAATAAATGTATGTCTTCATGGGAAGTTAGGTTTAGGCAAAAAAACAACTTAGTTAGGTTTAGGGAAAGATCGTGATTGACGTCAACTTCAAGCGACAGAGTCACATGACAAACAACACTAACCACTCAAGTGACTCTGGACTGATGTGACAACATGTCAATGTTTACATATTTACAAGAACAGTGGTCTCCTGGACAAAAGTGCTGTAATTCTTTGATCCATCCTGCAGCTACGTAGGAGGAAAGTTCAGTTTTTTTGTGGGTTTTTTTCAGGCTTTTCTGAGCATGACAGCCAGCATCATACACAACACTATTGTTTGTTTGCATTCTTTTTCCTGGAAGTTGGTTGCTAGCACCTCCTTCCCGATGGTATACGCATTGTGAAAGACGAGAAGCTTTGATTGGTCGGGGACCAACGTGTAGTCTGTCATGTCTCTTGGTCGAGTCACAGAAGGAATTGTGACTCTGTAATCAATAATCTGACACAGTGATCATCTTAAAACTAAATATTGTGTCGTCTGAGCCTGCCATGAACTTTCTTTGCTAGCTTAAGCTAAACAACTGCTCTTTTTGACATCTTCTCTCTTTTTAGCTGGCTGTGTACTCACTACTTCACTTGGATTTTGCTTTGCTTCTTTTTTGAGACACAACATGCAACCGCTCGGTTTAATAGTTCAAAAAATGGCTTCAATGCCTTCATTAACTGGCCCTAAAACAGCAGTCTTGATTTTAACATTGATATTTTTACTTGTGTATCTTATAAAACAATACACAATTTGCAAGAAAGAAAGTGTTGGAGCAATGGGAAGTGGATTTTTTCACGTTAAAAAAAAGACAACATGGGGAACACACACACTTATACAAACACACACGTGGAGTCTTTGTAGCCTACTACCGTAGGCTGAACACATCCTGGGCCTGGCTCTGTGTTTGACACAGGGATTGAATTGACATGTGTTTTATCATCTGGCTCTATGTAAAACTCCACACGAGCATTTCAATCAGGAGAGACAAGTCAGATGAAAAAAAGACAATTTTTAGTTATTAACAAATAATATGTGATGATAAGTCTTGACAGAGTCTTTGGCGCTACAGGGAGATTTGTAATGGAGGGGCGTCTGCTCTGAGCAGCAGCAATACAAATCCCCCAAAAGGAAAAAAGCAGAATACTTCCCCCAAAAGAATGTTTACTTACCAAGCAGGAATGAAATGGGTCACAAATGGTCGATGAAAATGGGATAAGCTGCAAAGAGATGAGGCATAACAAGGAGCATGACAGAAACTTGAGGTTAAGAGAATCAGCAATTTACCATGAATGAGAAAACATGAACAAAAGCGCTGCAATGACTAGGTCAGCACTGACCAGAGCGTCTATGATTTCTTTAGCTTAGCCAGCTTTTAATGGATCCTACTTCACTCATAAGACATTGAAGGGATTTAACCAATAGAAGTTAGCTGAATTATATATTAATCAGATCGGATGAGTTATCTATGAATGGAAATAACAGATAAAAAGGAAACAGTGAGCAGCAAAACAGACATTGAGCCAACACACCACCACCAGTTATATGCATGTATTGAGAATGTGAGCAAGCACGATTACGGAAGAATTTAGAAGCTTAACGATGCGATAATAGCAGATTCTGATAGCAGGCAACAGATTGAAAGCAGTGGCAGCAACAAAAGCTCAAACACCAGTTATAACATGACTTACGAGGGATTTAAGGCAAATTTAAAGAGGTATGGGCAGAGTCTGAACGATCAATTTATTTACACTTATCGGATAGAGCAGGTCAAGACGGAACTCTATGTGGACCCAACATGAGATTCCCCACAATGCTGCTGCTGCAATTAATGCGATACCACATGACAAAATATAGTTACCAGCATGTGAGATCACAAGGACTATGATGCAATGACTTTGGTTACGATAGGTCGAAATGCAATATATAAATAACCTTTAATTAACTAGGAAGACACAGCTCCACGCTGAGGTCTAGCCAAGACAGGGTCAAATAGCAGCATCCAACACAGAATAGGACAACAGTATGAAGCAAATTAGACCATGAAGCAGTGTATGAGGTTGCCTGGAGACCATGATGCATTGACAGTGACCCACTTTCCAGAGTACGACAGATGTGAGGACTTGGCAGAAAGCTGTGAATAGTAGTTATCGAGAACAACGCAAGGAATAACGAATTAATGAATAAGTAGAATACTCCAACAGGAGGCCATCTTGCGATAGAATTACAACCACAAATCAAGCCAGGGTGTAAAATTGGGCTGGGCTAATGGCCCATGCCCCACTTCTTACCCACCTACTCCTGACGGCCTTGATCAGCACATATCTTTGAACTCTGCCTATTTATCTATTTATTTGTTTGCCATTAAGAGAGCGGAGAGTGATATACTGGAGAGGAAAGGGGAGCGAAAGAGGGGATGACATTCATCCAAGGGCCCTGATTTGATTTGAACCAGGGCTGCTGATGTAAGACTTAGCCTTTGTGCATGGGGTGCTCTACCATGTGAGCCATCTGGGCGACAGAGCTTCAAGCTGTGCGGGGATAAACCCTTGGTATTGGCAGCGGGGTTCCTCGGAAGTTAAGGTAATTCTTGTCCTTACGACCGGCACAATGACGACGTAAACGGGGAAAGAACGGGGGATAGAAGTTATGAGCTCTCAGTGTCGAGTTTTGGATGAAAATTCACACGTAGGTGGGACTTCATGTCCCACGGGGGTTGGTGTGAATCTTAACTCAAATCAGGCTGCTGACTATCCTGTAGGCATATGTAGGTCCCTTTGTTCAGACCACATGGTCCCAACAGTAGTAAAGGTAGAGAGACAATCATATTTAAAAAGAGACAGCAGCAAGATGATAGGCTAACGATTTAATTGTTTCATTGTGCTATTGGATAGAGGAGACCAGCTGATCTAAACAGCTGATATCATAATTGACAGCCCCGAAATTATGAGTGAGCATGAGCGAGAAGTGAATGGCAGATGTATGAGAAATAAACTATACTCTTGCATGCCTAAGCCTGTAGTTTTCCTGACTGAATTTAGGCTGGAGCGTCATTTGGATGTTGGTTTGTTTCTTTAAATATCACATTTCATTTGTTTATCTCCTGTCAGGGTTGTTGCTACTACTCAGATGCAGCCAACAGATGCCAGGAAGGCTTTCCCCTGTTTTGACGAGCCAGCTATGAAAGCTATATTCTACATCACGTTGATCCACGACCATGGAACTGTAGCCTTGTCCAATGGCGAAGTGAAAGGTAAGTTACACTGCAATAGTTTTTGGACAGGATTGTTTTAACAACTTCTGACAATATCAATGGAATATATGAGGAGGACAACGCTGGTCCTTTTGTTTGTGGATGTAACATAATTCTTAGGGTGGTCTAAGACTGTGGACAGCAGGGTGTGTTAGAGTGACATGTTATAGGAAAAAAGAAATTCTAACTAAGTTAAAGTGATTAAAAATGAATAAAGTAATAAACATGTTGGCCTATTCAATTTAATTTCTCTACTACAGACTCAAGCAATTTCCCCATTGAGGGTCACAATGTGCAGAAGACAATTTTTGAGCCAACTGAGAAAATGTCCACCTACCTGTTGGCGTTCATTGTCAGTGACTTTGCCTTCATCAATAATACCATTGATGGAGTTTTGGTAAGTGACTTTAACTTTGAATTTTACCTAATTGATCATGTTCTGCGTGATCTGCACAATACCACAACAATATCGTGTTAGAACATTTTTCCTGGACTGGTTATCAATTTAAAATGTTTGTTCATAATAGACCACCAATATTCCAGATGTTGCTAAGAGATTTTTTATGAAACTGGAAGATAAATTGTATTTGTTGCACCCTAATAGTTGGTCTCCATTAATTAGTAACATGAGCAGTGTAATATCCCGATAATTGCAGCAACTCTCCAGCCCACCTTTTTAAAAATGGGAACCACACCCCCAGTCTGCTACTCGACAGGCACTGTACCAGACCTCCATGTGACAATGAAGGTGCTTTTCAGCCAAAAGAGCGTAACAATGTCCAGAGCATTCAGCATTTCAGGTTCAAAGCTCTGGACATTATTGTTTGGGGTCAGGAGTTCCTCAAAGTGCTTTCCAAAGCGCAAAAATGTCCCCTGTCCGGGTCCGCAGTTCTCCCATTCTGAGTCGGCTTATGGTTTGCCAGCATTTCCATGAAGCCAACCAAAAGTCCTTCCCCATATTCTCCCCAGACTCCTCCCACACCCGGGTTTTTGCTTTGGCCACTGCTGCAGTTTCAGACCTTCTGGCAAACCAGTACGTCTGCTGCTTCTGGAGACCCAGGGGCCAGCCCAGCCCTAAAGGCCTCTTTCTTCAGCTTGATGGCCTTCTTCACCACTGGTGTCCACTATCAGGTTCTTAGGTTGCCGCCACAGCAGGCACCAACAACCTTCCGATCACATCTCCTAGCAGCCGCTTGGCGCACTCGGATTCCATAACCCCAGCTTCCCCCTGAATCCATCAAAAATTGTTTCGCAGGTGGGAGTTGAAGACCTTGCAGACAGGGGCCTCAGTCAGATAGTATTGTTGATCTTATGCAATCAATGAGGTGACAGGTACATTCAAACTAACAACAATGTGCATAATGAGACTGGGTAATATGTTTTATTGTGTGTATTATGTGATGTGGTTTTAGATTCGCATCTTCGCCAGGAAGCCTGCTATTGCTGCTGGTCAAGGAGAGTATGCCCTTAACAAAACTGGACCCATCCTTAAGTTCTTTGAGAAGTATTACAATACCAGCTACCCTCTGCCAAAGTCCGGTATGTCCACCACACATGATGATATCAGGCAATGATCAATATCCTCTTTTTTCATGTAACTTTGTTAAATGTATGCTATCAAATTTGTTTCCTGGACCCTTTTTAGTTTTTGCTGTACGCACAGTACACCTAACAAGGTATTCAGTAATGTGACATCTAATCCAAATATGATTTAACTGTACCACTTGCTCAGTGGTCAGTAGTTATTGCAATCATGTTCAGAATCATTGTGTGCGTTTTTGTGGTCAACCTCAAAAACCTCTTTTTGTAGCCATTGGCTGCCACTTCCAATAAAACAGCAGTGCCAGTCATTCCGAACACCATATAAAATGCTATCGCTTCATCTGTTCTTTTGTCATCGATGCAAGACGTATGTGCTTATTTCAAGGGTTGATTTTGCCTTTCAGTTTTGACATTGAACACAGGGCTTTGGCAAGAAGATCTGAGAAGATTACATACAGTATCAATTATTAAGAGATATAACTTGATAACTTGAATGTTATACAGTCTTTCATGACAGTCTTTTCTTTTGTCATCCAATCTTTGTTGTCCAACTCATACAGTACATTCCCTAATTTTGTTACATTGTTACACATTTCTAATTCTGGGAAATCCTCCCTCCAGATCACATGTTTAAACACTGAGGCAGTTAGAACTTACTTAGTCAACTTAAAAGCATTAACTCCACAGGTAATCAACCACTAATAATATCTTGTATAATGCAGATCAGATAGCTCTACCAGACTTTAATGCTGGAGCCATGGAGAACTGGGGTCTGATCACATACAGAGAGACAGCACTGCTCTACGATGAAGCGTACTCCTCCAACTCCAACAAGCAAAGGATTGCGACCATCATCGCTCATGAACTGGCTCACATGGTTTGCATTTAACACTGGAAACTGTATCACTTCACAATGTCTATTGAATCTTGCATAACAGATCCAGTTCTTGACAAATTGATTCTCAATTAGCAAAATAGCTGAAGCTGAATTCAGAAAAGGCAAGCTATAAAGGAATTACAACCAGCACTGCGATCCGCCATTCGTTGGAATGATTTTCTTCAAACGTGGCATGAGAACATCCCAATCAAATAGTCAGTAACTCTGATTAAGTAAGCCAACTCACCAGACAAGTTTTCAAAACTTCATTTTTTGGATTATAGTGACTCAGTCCAACTCACAAGTCTACAGGTCTGGGAACTCATGTCTTATTTATTTCCAGTTCTTTCTTGGCATAGCATTCACACCTTTTCTCTTTGCTGTCCCTTTAGTGGTTTGGTAATCTGGTGACCCTGAGGTGGTGGAATGACTTGTGGCTGAATGAAGGCTTTGCATCCTATGTTGAGTACCTGGGAGCACACGAGGCTGAACCCGACTGGAATGTGGTAAGAATTTCCTTCCCACCTCATGGCCTCAAGAATGTTGACATTGATCGGTGGAGCCTTGGCCTTACTGTCTTATTTGTCTCATAATAGAAAGACCTCATCGTGCTCAGTGACGTCCACAGGGTGTTTGCCGTCGATGCTCTGGCCTCTTCTCACCCCCTGTCCTCCAGAGAAGAGGACATCCAGAAACCTGCACAGATCAGTGAGCTGTTCGATGCTATCTCATACAGCAAGGTAACCTCATACACGCAAGCCTTAACAGAACACTTTGTCCATCTCTGATCCTAACATCAAACCATTTAGGTTATGCATTTAATTCATCTCATAGATAAATCTATCTTTCAATGATGTTTAAAAGCATTTGAAATGTGTTTGCTCATTCTCAGGGAGCATCTGTTCTGAGGATGTTGTCGGACTTCCTAACTGAAGAAGTCTTCACAATGGGACTACGGGTATTGACTTCATGGAGACGTACAATCCAATATTTACCTGAAAAAATCCCTCATGCTACTGTGAAGCGTATTCCCCTTTTGTTTGACACAGTAAAGAATCTGTTCTGTATGCACCCTTGACAGGGTTTGAGTAGACATGGTCTTGACAAATACATTTCTTATTAGAAACATGGTAGCGTGCATCTGATAACTTTGAAAAAATCTGAAAAAGCAAGTTATTACAGAATTTCAACCACCACGGTCCAGCCCAGTCAGTGGGGGGATGTTCTTCAGACGTGGCTTGAAAACATAACCATCAATCTGTCAGTAATTGTAATTCAGTCAAACAACTCGCCTCAAAAGGGTTATTGTCTGAATGAAAATATATATAATTTGAAATGCTGTGTGAGCAGCAAAGCTTTCAGTCAGAAACGACGCCAAAGTAAAAATAACACATTTTTCTCTGTCCAACCTGCAGACCTACCTGGGTGAATTTGCGTTTGGGAATGCAGTCTACACAGACCTATTGAATCATCTGCAGATGGTATGTTCATCTCTATGGACTATCAAGTTTTGAAAATTAAGCTAATGTGTTAACCAAAAGGATAAGTACCTGCAAACCTTCTGATGGCTGTTACTTCATTTCTTCTTGTTTGTCTGCTTCCACAGGCTGTTATTGCTAATGGCACTCAACTTCCTGACACTGTCCAAAATATCATGAGCACATGGATCCTGCAGATGGGCTTTCCTGTGGTTACCATAAATACCACGACTGGGGTTGTGTCCCAGCAGCACTTTCTCTTGGATCCAGACTCGGAAGTCACTGCTGTATCTCCCTTCAAGTAAATACACACTTTCTTCCATACTTCCCTTCCACTTGACCAATGAATTAGGTATTTCTTGTCTTTTTCTTGCTGCTATATACCATTACATCTACAGTATAGGACAACTCAATTTGCTATACTTTGATGCTACTCCTGCTTATATTACTAAACTAGTATTACCATTACATTTATAGGAGTACTACTATCTTCAATACTATTATAAATTATAGTATTGTCACAAAAAATGATGTAACTAAGACTTTTTTTCTACTCATAAATTCCTAATAATTTTTCATTTTAATATCATTATGATAAAAGGTGATAGAGTCCAGTTTTTGAAAGGCAAAGAAGAAAAATTAATAATCTATATGTAGATGAAATGAAACAGTTGTTTGTCCTACAGCTATGAATGGATTGTTCCAATCAAGTGGATGAAAACTGAAGTTATCCAGGAACCGCAATGGCTGACGGATAAATCAGGTAAGATGTACAGACACCAACAATAACATGGTGCTTTTGTGCTGACAAATGAATCGATTTCTTCTGACAGTAAGTGGAAAAACAAACATTTTTGGCAATAAATGCAAAGTAACTGCAGGCCTTAGTTGATGGTCCAGACAAGTCAGATTTTAGGACATCAGAAACATCATTTTCTCTATTTGACTGATTCAACTATCAGTCAAAATAATGCAATGCAGCAGTAGAAACACAACACTAAGCACCAGACAAAGAATAGGGTGTTGTAAATCCATAAAAAGAACTATCTACATAACCTAACCAAGCCTAACAAGAAGAACAAACCTTAAACACACAGAAGATGAGAAAAAACCCTACGATGAGTGGGTGGGCCAAGTCGTTTTTCATGACTGTATTCTATCTATGTATCTAACAAATATGTTTTTTAAATACAGATCCAGAAATAACATTCAAAACAAAGTGTATTATTGACTGTAAGGTGCAGCAATATACTCGCTATATAGCTTTTAATCTAAAACAGCCTGTTGGGATTTCAGAAAGCCAAGGGGCACTGTCGAGGTGCTCTTGAGCAAGGCATTGAACTCCTAACTGCTTGGAGTGCCGACTAGCAGCCCCATCGCCATCCACAACTACTGGATGTCGGCATGTAATGGAAAATAAAGTACTCCCTCTAGTAAGCTGACGCTTTTATCCAAAACGACTTACAAGAATTGCATTCACCTATGTGGATACAACCCAAAAATGAAAGCATCATACGAGTACATCAACTTTGTCAAACAAGCTGAACGTCAAGTGCTACATTTAGAAGCAATACAAGATTGAGAAAAAGTTGTTTTTTAAAGGACAAATTAGTTTTCAGTCTGCAACAGAAGATATGTCGAGTGAAACAGTCAGGATCGGCAGTAGCAGGGTGTAGTTGACGGACACTAGGGTGTATGGATGGACACCTGTATGTAGGATGTGCCTGAGCAATTTACAGCATGATGAGCAAGTACCAGCGTCTTGAATTGGATTCAAACAGTCACTGGTAGCCAGTGCAGGGTGTGCAGGAGCAGTGTAGTGGGGTACACCTGCAAATTACAGTAGTCTAGATGACAAGAGCCTGAACCAGAACCTGTGTGTCCCCAAAGTAAGAAATGAATATGAGATGGAGAATGAATCTGCAGAAGTGGTTTAATTTGGAGAGGAGAGAAGAGAGGAGAGGAGAGGAGAGGAGAGAGCAGAGGAGAGGAGAGGAGAGGAGAGAGGTAAATGAATGAGTGTAAGACAGAATGAGCAGTGAGGGTTATGTAAAACTAAGGAGACAAATAATTCAGAGAAGAGATTAGTCATTTGATATTTACAGTAATTAGTCATGTGTGTGTGTGTGTGTGTGTGCCTGTCGGGTGGGCTCTGTGAAGAATGTGTGTGTGTTTCTTTGTTCTGCGTGCACAAGCATCAACATGTAAAGAAGCAACATGAGAGCATATCCCTTTATGGTGATGCGTGTATGATAATGCGGCAGATTAGAAAGATGGTTAAATCCTCACTGCGGGACTAACAAAGGATTATCTTATCTTATCTTATCTTAATGTATGTGCAAGACCCTGTGGCAAAGCCGGCTACACAACAATATCACACCAGTGAAGCTCAGTGAATACACTCATCAAATCAATACAAAAGCAAAGTTCATAGCTTAGATTATACTTGTCATGGTGAAACTGGCACCAGGGCCTCCACCAAAAATGTACGTAATTACGGCCTGCACGTCATGCCTGAAGGCTCTGCAAGTGGTCATGACGCTTGGTCGTGGACCTCTGAGTTTTTGTAACTTGGCAAATGCCGTGCGCACAATCAAAACTCTACAGACAAGATTGACACAAATAGTTCACTGATAAAAGCACTGTTAACATTTCATCAGGACAGACTTAATTAGATCTTAACAATAATGTATTACACATGCATAAGAAATGAATAGTGCAAAGTCTTTGACAATTGGACTCGATCCTGAAGTAGGATAATAGAGGGGTAGTGATGCTGAGGTCAGATAAGGCAGAATCTCCCTGGAGTCCAGATACTGGTGGTGGTGGTGATGAAGAGAGTTGCTGCAATCTGATGATGAATGAGGAGCATGACTGTGATGCTGACTGGAGGTGACTGGGTGGAGGAGGGTCAGATCTGATTATGCTGAAATGACAACTGACAGCAGCAGAGAGGAGAAGACTTTTAAAATTTGACAGCAACGATGTGATTGGCTTCAAGAAAGTGTTCAGAATCTTAAAGTGAACGCCCACAATCAGCTGATAGAGTAGTGACAGAGAGAGAGACTGAGACATTATGAATGAAAAGGAATGTAAAGAGAGTCTTCCTGACTGAACGTACGCTAACGCATCATGTCTGAGGATTTCACAATTCTAAATGCTTCAGAAACAGGAGGTCTTCAAAATCTGAGTTGATATTTTACCAGCCAAATGAAATTGTTTATCGTCAAACTTCGTTCCTTTGTTATGCATTTAATACTTGACTTATTTCTTTACTGGGCTTGTATAAAGGCAATAAAGTAATCCATGAACATGAGATATGACTTTACAGTTCCGCATTGTGGAGGTGGGATGTTGGCTCTTTGCCGGGTACAGTGTTGTCTTCTTGTTTCTTAACAGTACAGGTTGTTTGTACTCGCTCCGGGGTTTGGGAGAATAATGTAAGGAAGAGCGCGTTGAGCATAATGGTCTCTGTGCATGCTCATAGCTCGAGTGCCATCTGTGGAGGGTCTACACTACAGTGCCAAGTGCAAGCATGAGCAAAGCTTAAGCAGTCCTGTGCTTAGACGTGTACAGTTATGCTATGCTAATGCCAAGTTCAACAGTCATGTAGAGAGGGATGTTACTTACAGTGCCATCGGTTTTGGATGGATACATCAGTCTGCAAATGCCGAATGCAGTCTTTGCTGTGCTGTGTTCCGATGGTGCAGATTGAAGAAAACTGGTCGCTCCAGTCTTCCTTTGTTCTCCCTGCAGAGTGTAGTTATGTCTGCGCTAACTTGCTTGTTGCTCCTGTTGTTTCCAGTCAGCGTGCAGACTGTATCGTAGCTGCTACTAAACTTGTCCGCTCACTGTTAGCAGAGCGCACTTAGCTAACCAAGGCCGTATTCAGGCAGGCTGCATTGCAGCAGGAAAGGATTCCAGTACATAGAGTAGTCTGCCGATTGCTGGGCGGTCAGAGATCCATCAGCGGGAAGCAGCGCCGCGGTTATGCATGACCCGGTGACATCATGGGTCCTACCAGTGGCGGCTGGTCAATAGAGGGCGCTAGGGCGCTGCCCGACCTTGAGCCACAACAAATAAAATAAAATAAATAATAATAATAATAAACTATACAAATTGTCAATATTTGTGTTTTAGAAATATGGAATCACCCAGTAATATGTGTAAAATATGATATCTGCGGTAAATATATGCTTTTCCTGCACGGCCTCTCCACGTGTCTGCAAGTCTCAGCAGCTCTGGGACGCTGGAGAAACTGCCCAAAAGAGGCGGGTCTATGAAGCAGTTTAGCCAATTGCTGATTAAAGATATAAATGAGTGACATACAATTTAGCCAATCAGCGTCCTTAAATAGATTCAGCTTGGGGCAGAATCGAGCTGTGCCTTCCGTCTGGATGAGTCTCTAGAGGCCAGCGCCAGCGCTGCTCCTCCAAGACCCGTTTCAGAGGAGAACTTTGGCGGAGATTCTGCAGGCCAAAGAGCTGATATCAGATCAGCCTGACCTCACAACCAGACAGCAGACTAGCGGGAAAGGGAAGCAGTACATGTGAAGCTTCTGTACTACCTGTACACCAGACAGGTTTGGCTAGCTGGATGACATCATGCTAATAACTTATTTAGCTTTTTAAAACAACGGGGACAGATCCAGCACGGACAGTTAGGGAGTGAGGGACATGAAGCACCTGCTGAGACATGATATATAGTTATAAATAAATCATTATATATATATATATATGTGTGTGTGTGTGTTTTATATTATAGTGAATATTATTATATGATATATATATTATTATATTATACAGAGACTAAAATAAGATGTCCTGACGTGTTTGTCAAAGTGTTATTTTCTGCTTTTTTCATGTTGGAATAAAGGTTAAATATTTAACTCTAAAGTAGTAATACATGTTTGATACCTTAATATTTTTGCATTAAATCATTCTGGGATGTTTGCTGAGATTGATTGGATGTGGCACAGACCCCACTGGGTCCTACACTACAGTAACTTTAGTTACTGTAAGCAGTAGGCTCATTCCAGATGAGCCAGTCCTGCGCAGAATCGATCACCGGCGATCGGTTAGATTTGTGTTCGACTTGATTCTCACTTGCAGTGATAACCTCACGAGATTGAGGTGGCTGCAGTTTTTAGAGCCAGGCGCCACATTTGCTGTCCACCGACTGCATGACCCAGGGCATGATGGGAAATGCCTGGCTGTCGCCATATCAAAGTGCTGATTGGCTCTTAGTTTTGACAACAAACACCACATTTTTTAGAAAATCATATTTTTCTGTGTAATTGAAATACTTGATGTTGATTGTTGGTTGATTGTCAAAATCAATGTAATCAACACAATGACGAGAACAAACTCACAAGAACCAGTCACATTTATTTATATGACAACAAAGCAACAAATCAATCCAGCAAACCTGCAGCAGATCCACGCATTCCACCACACACTCAAGAGCACGAGCCATTCAAATATTATTCATAAAACCGACATGATAGACAAATTGACAGTAGTAACGCTACTGCAGATGTAAAAAAACAAACGCAGTTGACTTACTAAATGCTGTTCACTTAAAGACAAAGTCCATCCTCCTTTCTTTGTTGACAAAGAGTTTAATCCCACGGTCAGAACATCGGGTCAGTTCCAGTAAGAGGTCCTTCTCGAAAAATTATATAGAATAGCTATAACTTTGTGATTCTGTTTAGGCCAGCAGGCTTTGCTGGCCCTGACGGCCCACCACTGATAGACACATATCTTGTGTGATTAATAATAATAATAACGCTTATTTATACAACACATATCAAAGCGAGCAGCAAAGTGTTTGACAGAACAAAAGATATAATACAATGCAGATATACGCACATTCCACATAAACATATATTTACAAATCCGAACAAGGTCTGTAATCTACAAGTAGCCTACAGACCACATCTAACAGGACGTAACTGTTTCTTTGTCTTCCTGTGTATTCTTCGAAGGCAGCTGAAAACTGTCCGATTTGACCTCAGTTTTTTTTTAACATCCCCTGCTGCTGCCGCCTGCTCTTGTCCACTTTCCAGGCGAGGTGCAGTTCATCTCCAATGAGCCTATTGAATCCATCAGCAAGAGTTCTTGGAAACTGAGTTCAATGGCTCAGCCACCAATTTGAGTGCTAAGTGCCAACAACGATAATGACTCCATCCTCTTTTTCTTCTCTAGCCACAAATGATGAGATGAAGTTATCAGGGGCTGACTGGGTTCTGGCCAACCTTGACGTGGTGGGTTACTACAGAGTCAACTATGACACGGACAACTGGAACAGACTCGTAGATAATCTGAGAACCGATCATAAGGTATATTTCAGCTTAATTTAGAGAAATGTGTGATCTCTGCTTTCCTATGAACATGATTCTTGATCTGAGTTGTGGTAGTAGTGACAGGGATAATGTTCTTGTTTTTCAAGCTTATTCCAGTTATCAACAGAGCTCAGTTGGTGGATGATGCCTTCAACCTAGCCAGGTAAGTCCTGTTATTATATGAGAATACATAGATGGTGTCAGTAATCAAGAGAATGATCATGTGCAGTACTGAGATATAGAAAAAAGAAATCGAAATGATTTGTTACCTTCAGTAAAGCAGAAAGACTTATAGACTATTAAAGATGGTCCAAGCAAAAACAACATTTAACACTTAACATTTAACACTTAACATTTAACACTACGTCAATGTTGGATATCCCATTCATTTTTACAATACAAAAAAGAGCAAAGATCATCTCTACAGTCCTGGCCCTTGAGACCACCCAGTACCTGAACAAGGAGAGAGATTACATGCCCTGGGAGTCAGCCCTGAGCAACCTGGACTTCTTCTACCTGATGTTTGACCGCAGTGAGGTGTATGGTCCCATGCAGGTGTGCTTCCTTTCAGCCCAACATATCAGCATCAAAATCAAAAGAGCAAAAACACAAATGAATTACTTCTATGATTCCAATCTTCATTGAATTATAAAATGTCCTTAGCTCTGTCTTGCTTTTCTTTTTTAGGATTATCTGAGGAAACAGGTCACCCCTCTGTTTGAATACTACAAGAACATGACTCTCAACTGGAGCAAAGTCCCTGCTGGACACATGGACCAGTGAGTGTTGGAAAACACGGGCATTTACTGTTCCGGAGAGCATACTTCTTAAGAGAGGCAATAACAAAATATGGCATTTGAAAACAAGCAAGTTAAACATTAAAGAACAGCGTTAGAGGTTGCAGCAACATTGAAGATCTCCAGCTCTTGAGCAACCATATCTGTGGTTCACTTCAGATTTACAGTTATGCAGTTATACAGTTTTCTTCTGGGTAGGAACAGGCCAGTTACCCATGCTACTTTGGTGGATTGGATTTCCAAACCATGTTAGTATAACTTTAGTAACATTAGTCCCTTGTCAAATCTATCTGGCTTTAAACTATTCTATTCTAAACTTGCAAGCATTCACCGGCTAGTGTTGTGTTTGCTTTAATGTTAACAACAACTGTCTATCTATCAGGAGCTAGGAGTGGTAGATGAGTCAAAAAAACACAGGATGTTCATCCAAGAGACTGATGCTCATGTCCCATGCCAAAGTTAAAGTAAACATTGACATTTTGTCATCAGTCACTAGTCACGTGAGTTGCTAGTCCCTTGACTATTTTCAAGATTAGACTGAGTCTTCAGTCACTTGGTAGCAGTGGGGGGCCGTGCATTTTATACCTGGGCCTTCACTGCTGTACTACAGTTGAACCACCTCCTAATAACCTCATTATGACACCACAGCTACGGTTATCATTTGTTTCGTGTAAAAATGAAGGTCAACACCTATAAATACTAACTGCAGAGTGCAGATACATGAACATGCACCTGATGGGATTCTGTGTCATTAACGGACAATGCATATGACACACTAAAGAGCTCGGGCCATTCAAATATTATTCACATCAGAGGGAACAATATTAACCATAGACAAATGAACACAGTAGTAACGCTACTCTCACTCCCTCCAGGAAATACACCAAACCATAGTTCTTGTTGCTGACGGATTTATATTTATATTAAAGCTACTGCAGATGTAAAAACAAAAGCAGTTCACTTACCAAAGCTGCTGTTCACTTAAAGACAAAGTCCATCCTCCTTTCTTTGTTAACAAAGAGTTTAATCCCACGGTTGTTCAGTACATCCGTGCGTTTTAGTTCCAGTAAGAAGTCCTTCTCCATTCATGGACGCCAGTGAAGACAGTCGAGCCTCCCCAGTTGTATTTCTTGAATACGTTTTAATGCGTTTGAGGCTGAAAATGTCCGCTCAACAGAGGCAGCAGATATTGGGATTGTCACCGCCCAACATGTCACGCTAGCCCACTGACCAATCACGTACTTGTAGGCCAGCTAGCAGGCTCTGGCACGTCAAAGAATACGCCCAACATGTCAAACTAAAGATCTGATTGGTTGAACACTATGACAATCAACAATATCGTCCCCATTCACTTAAACTGCACATGGATGCACTTGTGAGTCTGCAGGCCTGGGGCCTCTCTTCTTACCTAGAGACACAGAGGTGAAATCTGATTGGATAAAAGCTCTACTTAAAACAAGCTGCACTGGAAGCAGAGCAACTGAGGAAGACAGGAGCTGTGCAATGACAAAATAAGATAATGGGAAGAAAAATGATAATGTAGTGTATTTATGAAAAATTATGAAATCATAAAATAGCTAGAACTTTGTGATTCTGTCCACCACTGCCTGGTAGTGAAGTTAGTCTTTAGTCACAGCCTTTTCCTAAACCAAACTAAGTTGTTTTGTTGCCTGGACCTAACTTCCTGTTAAGAGGGACGTTTATTTATAAAGGACACTATACATGTAACTAAAGTATATTGACATGCTGTCATGTTGAAAATGTACACGAGAGGAGTACCTAGTGCTTTGATCTCCAATACCAAGAGGCACTGACCAAGCCTCAGTATTTGATGAGTTGGGAGTGAGAATGTGTTGCAGTTGCTAGTATTCTTGCTCCCTGTATTTGATGAATGCTTATTCAACATTACTCTGTCCCTGTGCATCATCCTTGTTTCTCCGTCCTCCAGGTATAACCAGGTGAATGCTATCAGCCTGGCTTGCAAGACAGACCTTGAGGAATGCCAAAATCTGTCCAAGGCATGGTTCAATCAATGGATGAACACTAATGAAAACCAGTGAGTGTATTCTCTCCCATTATGTGACATATTGTAGTTTCACTGATTTAATGATGTATTTTTAGAGCATCTTTCTGTCCATCAACTATGTTGTACTGCCATCTTGTTTCAGGATCCACCCCAACCTGCGCTCCACTGTGTACTGTAATGCCATTGCAGCAGGTGGCGCTAAAGAGTGGGAGTTTGCTTGGTCACAGTTTTATAATGCCACCATTGCTATTGAAGCTGACAAACTCCGCTCTGCCCTGGCCTGCACGAAGCAACCCTGGCTGCTCAACAGGTCTGCTCACAGACAGCTTGTTAATACTGTTATACAGTGTACAACAGCGTATAACTGACAATTACTGACTAGTACACACATATATACTCTATTCTACTTTTACCCTTTCAGGTATCTGGAGTACACTCTGGATCCAGACATGATCCGAAAGCAGGATGCCACCTCCACTATCGTTTACATTGCTAACAATGTGGCTGGACAGTCTCTGGCGTGGGACTTTGTCAGGGCTCGATGGTCATACATTTTCACAGAGTGAGTACAACTCTTTTCAGTTGCAAACATCACTTTATTCCCATGAAACATTGGCCATGTGTCAATTTTAATGGCGCTAAAATAGCCTTAATGGTTCTGAGTAAAAGGCTGTTTTGAATGCAGATCGGCTGAATGATGTGTTAGGTAACATGTCTCTCTGACCTCTGATAGTCACATACCCAGCTGAAGCACAGCCACATAATAAAAGATCAATTGTCACATAAGCACTTAACAACAGGAAGGCAGTTTTACATTCAGGTTTATTATCAGCGATAGCTTTTATTGACCGAGCATACTCAGTGTACTTCAAGCTCTGCCTCAGATGACGTTTGTTCTTCTCTGCTCATAAACCACGCAGCCCCCCCCACAGAGCATAATACGGGTGCTCGTGTAATTTCCCTATGGCTGAATTAAGTTAGGAGTTTCAGTGGAAGTAGATTTCTTTGCATGTTTTTTGACAAACATAACTAGTGCAACAAACGATTATCTTTGGTTATAGAATATCTATAATTAGATGTTCAAAGATCCTCTGTTCTAATTGTACACACGACAAAAAGTAAGCATCTTTGATGGATTGAGATAAAGTTATTTGGTCTCAGGCGGCCCTTTGGGTCTGACCTGAAGAAACATGATCATACTAGAATTACTTTTGTTTGAGTTGGAATTACTCCATGCAAAAATGGCAAACAAAAAAAAAAGCCCGTTGAAGCATATTGCAGCATTTCTTCAAAATGTTATTTGAAGAATATCAGCTTTTACCATCACTCAGAAGATCGATTGATCCCACAGGCTTGGTTAAACAGGTTAAAGAAATCTTTTGTTTCTCAGTCCGTCAAACTACTGAATCAGAGTTTGTAAGTAGGCTTCAGTGTACCTGAGTCGAATACTAAATGTAAAAGAGAGCTATGACATTTCTTAAAAGTTCTAAGCCAACAACACGGACAACTCCACCAGACAACGCCCTGATAGAAACCTGTCAATCAAGATAGCCCCGCCCTAAAGTGTACCCTGCTTTATGGTCTGTTTGACTCTAAATGGACCATAATGTACTAAATGAACATCATGCTGTATTGAAGAAGACTTGAAACTAGAGATTGAGACCATAAACTCATGTTTACAATGTTTACTGAGGTAATAAATCAAGAGAGAAGTAGAGTCATTTTCTCATAGACTTCTATACAACCAGAGGAGTCGCCCCCTGGTGGTCACTAGAGGGACTTTAAGACACTTCAGCATTAACTTCACTTTTCAGAACCGGAGGTTGCCTGAGATGTGTAACAAGTGTTTTGGTTGCTTAGATACATTTTGCAAAGATCACATTTCTGAAGAGTTTGGAAAAGTACATTCAGTATGGAGAAATATATTTCACCAAAAGCTTTGATTTGCATACAAATGGACTTAATTATCTGTCATATCTTGACTCACAGGTATGGTGGTGGATCATTCTCCTTCTCCAACCTCATCAACGGAGTCACCAAGCGCTTTTCCACTGACTTTGAGCTTCAGCAGGTTAGATATTATCAAACACATTTTAATCTATATTATGAGGGATTCTTCAAGTTTAAGTGTCGAGATTGTGGTCTGCCTGGTACATTCTGTTCTGTTATACTAGCATATATGTAGATAACAGCATATGTGACCAATAATCCTGAGTCTCAAGGCACCAGTTTTTAACACTTTAGTGGAACTTCTTTGTTTTGTGGGTCGGCCGTTTAGTTCAAGGTCCTACTAGTGAGTTTAAGGTCAGTGAAACCCAAAGTTGTTTTTTTCAAAATTGGATTGACAGTTATAACTCAGCATAGGCATGGCACTTCTGTTAGGCTTTGGATCACTCATATTGAAATGATTACATTACATTTGCATTTAAAACAAAGCTAGGATTTTTTTTATATCTAAATGTGTGAGCACAGTTTAAATGTGGCCATAGCAAATAATCAATTATTTACATCAATGAAATGAATATATCAGTAGATATTGATTAAAAACTGCACCAAAATGATGAAAAAGGATCACTGTGCTAATACTGTGCTGCGCTAAGCCCAGCCCATTTAGATTACCAATTTAAAAGAAATTGCCTTTTCTGATTGATTGTAAAAATACTAGAAGTTTCAAACTGATCCTGAATCAAGTCATGTACCAAGTACCTAACATGATGTCCTTACTCAGACTGGCCTATGAGACATTTGACACTGTCCCTATGTCTGTGTTGTAGGACACCACCTAATCCTATTTTCTGCTGACTCACTTCAGAAAGCTGCATCATCTCCTCAAACAACTCTCACCTGTGTTTTGTCTTGTTTGTGACAGCTGAAGCAGTTCAAGGCAGACAACAGTGTGGTGGGTTTTGGCTCTGGGACGCTGGCAGTGGATCAGTCCATTGAGAGAACCATCAGCAACATCAAATGGATCACAGAGAACAAGGAGAATGTTCTGAATTGGTTTGATAAGGCCTTGTAGCTCTGTATATACTTGTACGACATGCAACTTAAAGACTTCAACAAAATAAATTAGACCAGAATGTGCTTGCTGAAACTTTGATGTAGCTGTTTGGTTAAACTGAAAAGAAGAAAATGATTCCTGGCTCTGTCTAAGTGGAGGTACGTTGACAGAGCCAAGAGGACGTGGGTAAGGATGCTTTGTTGTTGTTTGTTTTATACTTTTTTAATCACATTGTTAAATGTATCTACTTGTGCTCCTGAAATGACACAGTAAAGAGTTTGTGTTATTTCTTTGAGCGTACTTTCACAGCCTTCTTTTGTGATTGAGGGTGTTTAGTTCGACTTTCCTGTTATGTCAGGATCAGGAGACTCTGCATGAAGAAAATCATTATATTGTGATCATAGCGTGATTATTTTATTTATATGTCATTAAGGGTAAAAACACATAACTTTATTAAACATAACTAAGATATTACTCTTTGGCCATCGTTCATATTAGTTGAAACAAACATAACACATAAAAATGCATTTCTTTTTAATATTGCGTACCTTATGGGCTCTGTATTTGAAGACTAAATATTTGAGACAAACACAAAACAACACAAAATAATGAACGGTAAAAAGTGAATTGTTATTGAAGACATTCCTTTATGTTAAGCTTTACTTTCCCTGGTTATGACGGCCAGCATCACAAGTCACCCTGAACCAATGCTTGTATTCTGTTTCTATCTGTGATGTGACGAAACAATCTGCTTCCATCACAGAGCAAATACAGCTTTGTCTTGTATAATACATCCAAAACGTACTTTGCTATACAACTATAGCAAACCAACATCTTTATGTGCAATTCTATAAACTGGATATATGTAAATATGTTCACCTTTAAAATTGAAAACTTTACAATTTCTTATGTCCACATTGTTGCTCATGTGAAAGTACAACTTGAAGAAATGAACATTTGAAAGACAATGATTCTCATCTTGTGCCGTCATTGATATCTGACATGCTGTATTTGAAGGCAATGGAAAGAATAAACACATCCATGCTGATGGACTTGATGATTAGCTCATGCTATAGCTGGATATGTTTGAGATCAGATGTCTGACTGTCTGTAATAATCAAACCACTTACATAAGGCATCATCTTTTTGTTGCAGCTAAAGTCGATGTAACTTTTAGATGGATCGCAGCAAAGCAGAGCCAACCCTATAAACACAAAGGTCTGTCCTCGGGGGCGTACAGCACTTTGACTCATTGACTGGCTGATTCCCGATCTATCGCACACTAAGAACAGAACATTCTGCTACTTGACAAAACCACTATTTGAAGACGATAGACATTGGATGTTGTTTAATGTCCCCCGTTACATTCTCTTCACCCAATGAGTGTAAGGAAACCTAGTAATGTTTCAAGTGACACAAAGTGTTCATCAGAATGGGCGCCGCCTTGTTGTACTTGGTGATGCATCTCATAGAACGGACGGCAACAGATGTTAGATAAACAGAATATTACATCAAACATCGAGCAACGTCAGGAGAATGTGTCAATAATTGGTTTTCTTTATATTGTCAGTCAGAAGACTCTTTCTTTCTCAAGTACAAACAACATGTTTTTAAATAAATGCAGCTTATTTAAAGGTGTGGTCGGTTCGTTACTGCTCTAGTTTTCAAAGTTTGTGTGTTTTTAATCTGTTTTTAATCTGGCATTCCTATCTGCTCTGTTTTCCCCCATATGTCAAGTAGTTGTATTGTTTTCTCATTTAATTTAATCATCATCATTAAACATATCGTAAATCATATTGATTTATTTTGTCACACTGAAACCTGGCTGTGCTATGAATTCATTTGAAAACCAGAAATCACTACAGCCAATTATATTTCTTATAGTCTGCAGCACCCCAGGTGCCTTTTCTGTTTTTATGAAATTTTGCTGTAAAAAAACAGATAACAGGTAATTATTGAAGGTGATTTTAACATTCAAGTGGATGTCGATAATGATAGCCTCAGTACTGTGTTTATCACATTATTATTATTCTAAATAGAAAATTGAATAGTCTTCCTGAACCCTCTTTTATTGGAAAATGACCGAATAACTTTTGAATTTGTACTACCAGATTGTACAGGTAATAAATGCTTCCCATTGTTTTGTTTAGCTGTAAGCATTATTATCATCAAATACATCAAAGAGTGCACACTACACATAAACAGGTATACTTATGCATGTGTAAATATATGCAGTTACATATCGATGTATATCTGTTCCCATACATAATTATTAATATGATATTTATACCTCGGATCCGTCATCTTAACGGTAAGAAAGGCAGAGTTCAAAGATGTGTGCAGGCTGATCAAGGCAGGTTGATTTTGCTCAAGTCTTAATAACTTAATATCTTACTGCTAACTTAATAACTTTTATCTATGAGACACCACAGGATTTCACTATCAGGACCTCAGCAATGAACCCACAGAGCACAAGGGAGATTGGATTTGCTTAGACAAACAGAGTTGTCCCAGGATCAACTAACGTCACAGTAGAGATGCACACATCACTTTATAGCTTTGCTTTGGCCCTGGTCTGGGTGACTTATCTGTCCTTAGAGAACCCAGGGTTCCTGTCTACCTGTCCCTAGGCTAGACATTTACCACCATGTGTCTAATTAATCACCAGTCTCCTTCCCCAACCTTCTTCTGATTCACATCGCATAGCAGGTCATCGTGACCTGTTCACATTTCCCACCTGTTAAAAATCCTACACTCACGCACATGTGCTCCTTGCCCTCTACCATCCACCCAGGCCTCTGGGCCTCTACTATCCACCCAGGCCTCTGGGCCTCTACTATCCACCCAGGCCTATGGGCCTCTACTATCCACCCAGGCCTCTGGGCCTCTACTATCCACCCAGGCCTCTGGGCCTCTGTGATTACCGGCCTAATCCCAAGAGAACAGCGAACCGTCTGGGACAGCGCTCGGTTGGCAAGAAACACCTTTTGAGATGAGTTGTATGCGTTGTGCATGAGAACAGGCTGCGAACCTCGGGGTCCTGTCTCCTGACGGATCCCTTGGTAGCCATCTATTACAACCCTCTGGATGCTTATGTCCTGGTTTCCTCTACAATGTTGTATGTTGCACAGACTGTAAAGGCCGAAGAGGAAAATGTATGATTTGTGAAATTGAGCTATGAATAAAGGTATTTCTGTTGGTAATAGCTTTGTTGTGGCGTGTGTCAACGCCACTTTCTTTTAGGTGGTTATGAAATGTTAATGCTCTCTTTTGAATTTTGATAGTTAGAGGGTAGTGTGCTAATTCTGCTCTGCGTGCACTATTTAGTGTTTTCAGTTGGATTTTTAGAATTTTGCATGCAGTCTCAATTTGGCATTCGTCCCATATCCTGGTTGGCAAGTGGACCCTAGACCTCACCACCATAAAGGGAAATAGGTTGTATAAAAAATCCAATATTTGAAGTCACATTTCAATTTGGATGTCCAACTTGATGTTCCTTCTGAAGCCGTAAAAAGCCCCTCTTGCCTTGTCTCTCAGGTTGTTCCCAGCTTGGTTTGAGTGTCCTGTTGTGCTGATGGTTAGGTAGCGGTAGGTTTAGTTTGTTGTGTGTTCTAGGGCAACTGAATCTAAAAATAATTATATTTCTGAAGGCTGGATCTTTTTTCAAATATTTCTGTTGGTTATATTCACTCTCACGGCTTTCACTTCATATCGCGTTGCTTTGCACTTATAGATCCTCTTTAGAATAAACATAAAGCCAGTGACAACTCTCACACAATCACTCCATATCCTCATTATCATTTCTAGCATAATCATAATGCAAGTTCACCAGAGGAAAACTCAAACAAATAGATTGTGTTCACCCATCAAACTTCCATTTTTCAAATGATATCCAGGGTGGTGGACACCACTGATTGTCGTAATCAGTCTGATTGCTGTAAACATATAAATACTCTCGTACACACTCGTAATGTGTAACGCTTCACAATGGATGCACCTGGACTGTTTGGACTGAATGGAATAATTAGTTCTAGATGCAGCAGGGTGTCCTCTGGGTGGAGCAGGGTATCCTCTGGGTGGATCAGGGTATTCTCTGGGTGGAGCAGGGTGTCCTCTGGGTGCAGCAGGGTGTCCTCTGGGTGGATCAGGGTATTCTCTGG